TCTTCCAACGTTTGAAAAACATCTACACATTCCCAGATTTAAAAGTTGCGCAAACTGACCACAAACCCAACCACCTCGAATCTAGGAATGCTCGTCAATAATTGCTTGAAAGAGATCCGACGCACCGTAGAAGCATTCGATAAGGAGGGAGTTCAGGTGCACTTTAAATCTGTGCAAGCAAACCAAAATCCAGCTGATGCTGGTATTCGAGGTCTTAGAAGAACGCAATTGTCCCATACAATTTGGTGGAGAGGATCTAACTTTTTACACGACTCGTTGATATATGGTAATCTCCCACATGCACTTGCCATGTGTAACGGAACTTCTCCCTGAGTGCGAACTTTCGCCTTGCGGCATGTGGCAAATCTTACTGCATTACTGTACTCTTCCGCCTCCGCGCCAGTCGATAGGACACAATATTTCTCGTTGGTTGCCTTTCTTTTTAACCAGTTTTGACCATTTTGTTTCTTTTTCGTTGTTATGTTTATTAGACTCGACTAATTAGAATGACTGCTATATTAGCGACGATCAAGACCGCATTGGAATTGGAGAGAGCGGCCAGCCAATTCAAATAATTAAAGGACTCTCCACCTCACAAATTGCGCGCTCCAATCTTCCATCGCAATCCTGTGATACGCGGCGGGTGCGGCGTGCGCGACGCCGTTTCCGGGGGGAAGACACCGGACCCACTTGCCATAGACAATGCGCAAGAACATTACCAAACCTTAGCGATCATAAACGCGATTGGAACAAAAACTAGCCAGGAAACGAAAAAGCCTGTAATAGACCTATCCCGCTCCAGTTCATTAACGAAAGCAAAATGGGCGCTCGTCGTGATATTCATCAAAAAGCTACTAGAGTACTTATCACAAGTATGAAAAGACGCAATACTTCAACACATTCCGGAACTACAAAATATGCCCAACTATCCGCGGAGGAAACGCTTTGACTGCTTCTCGAAGGATTATTATACGTAGTCACTATGTCACCTTACTGATGATAATTATAAACCTATCAGGGAAAAACTACCTGTTCAAAGACGAACACTAAATTTGGCAATCAAAAAGACGGATAGGAAACGCGGTACTAAACTCAGACGCGATGTTCTAATTTCGTACTTCTCGAAACACCACTGGCCTAACTATTGGGTTGTAACATAAGTTCGTAGAGTTTTGCGTTAGAGTTATTTTACAACGTTTTATTTTGTTTTTTAGCAAACTGTATGCATTCATTTGAAAGAGCTCTTTCTCCTCTACAAAACTGTTTTATTCGTTTTTAGGACAATTAAATCGTTCGCCTTTTTTCGGGCTCAGAAATGGAATATCCAGGGAGAAAAAATTAGCATTTTCGACATCTGCTTTTCTTTGCTTCTCGTCGAGGTCAAAAAAGCAGCCGAAACCGCTCGGGACATATGCAGTGTGTACGGGGAAAATGTCTTAGGTGTGTCTACTGAAAGGTGTGGGTGGCCCCAGGGAAGGCGCCAAAGCCGAGAGTCAAGCAAGATCTTCACCCAAAAAAAGGGTATGATCTGCGTTTGGTGGGACTTGGTAGGCATGGTGCATTGGGAAACTGCTCGATTGAAACGCCACTGTCAACAAGGAGGTCTAGATTACCCAGCTGAACGGTGTAAGTGAGGCTATTCGGCTGAAAAGACCTCATAGAGGTGGTCAAGTCATCTTGCTCCACGACAACACCAGGCCCCATATTGCTCAAGTCGTCCAAGAGCTTGAATGGGGGTTCTTCAGCATCCACCGCACTCTTCGGATTTTGCACCTGCCGACTATCACCTTTTCCGCTCTATGTTAAACCCAATGAGGGGTGTTACCTTCGATGGCGAAGGGGGCCTTAAAAACTGGCTCAACAAATTCTTCGACACCACAACGGCCGATTTTCGGCGAATCGCCATCAACAAATTGGTCGAGAGATGGGAGGAGGTCGTGAACAGTAACGGAGGATACATCATTGGTTAATTTATTATTATAACTGTTTTTTGGTTCAACGAAATCTTTGTGAAAAAACTCTACAAACTTATGTTACAACCCAACAATTGTACAAGAGACCTATGGAATGTGCCATCAAGGCATTGAATACGCGTTGGCAACAATACGTTCACACTATTGGATCCCAAAATGAAGACAACAAGTCCACAACTCGATAAAGAACTGTGTAAAATCTCGTAGGTTCGACGGGTTACCCCATGCTTATCCGGCAACATAGGGCTGGCAACCAAGGGCTTACAAAGTCACAGGGTAGTACGAAGTGACGCATTTCAAGCTATCGGTCTTAATTTTTTCGACTTTCCAATTCTGAAGGAAAACGATAGAGAATGCGAAACTTATGGTTGCATTTTCGCAGACTAATACTTCTGGAACGTGTCCACAGCATGTCTAGGAGATTTTCTGAACGCATTGCGAAGATTCATAGCTCGCAAAGGGGAAGCGCCCACTATCACAGACAACTACGCACCCCCCCCCCCCCCCCCCCCCTTTCTCCTTCGAGCAGGTATTATTTCTCCCTTCCGCAGCACTTTACCTCGGAACTCGACCAAATGAAGAGGCAGCAGCAAAGTCCTTCCTTTTCATAGAAATCTCACCAGAATCTTACCGAAAGTTGAGGCCTGCTCAAACTTAAACAGCTTACCTATCAAGGCTCGGAATAAGACAATTTAGACACTGTCCACCCTACTGATTTCCTTCAGAAAGATATCGGGCTGACCTTCCCGTACAAAATCCTAAGTGGAGTGACCGATCCAACGGAATACCGCGCTCTGGCAACTAAACTGGAAGCAGTTTCTTTTTTTTTCGTTTTTTCCTCTCCAAAATTGGAGGTGATCAGTTTTGGAAAGAAAAAGTAGAAGACTACTTGACGAGCCTAAGAGAAACACACATACAGCTCTTGTGAACGACCCCAATCTTCCAAGAAATTACGGCAAGTTAGCACAAGTAGCGAAAACTTACAGGAAGAGACGGTCAAATTAGGTAAATAGAGTCAATTACGGCAACGAGACGAACTGTGAGAAGACTTACTAACCTTACTTGTGCCGCTTGAACTCAAAGAAGACAAGGAAGCGAATAAGAGCGGAAATGAATAACCACATTTGTGGTGAACCTGTCCCAAAACAGGTACACAAATAGTTGCGCAAGCCCTTATCATATTCCATGATTACGCACTTTCGCACTCACAACGGGTGAATACATAACTAGACTACCATATCACATAACCAAGAGTGGTCGTGAGGACCTACCCAAAAAAACAGCAACGGCTGCCGTTTCAGTACAGAATGATGCCACTAGAGGACAACCTCTCTGGAGATATATAGTGTCCCAAAATTATGGGCGTCGAACCATGGCAATATATTCAAAGCTCATTAGATGAGACCGACAGTGGGACCCGACAGTTCCTCTTCTAATCAGAGACCATACGTAAGAGTCAAGCGAGTTAAGATCTGTGAAGCAGGATGGCCATTCCTCTTTGCCGTTGGAGTCGGGCAGCTAGCTCGGCACCGCTAGAGGGGTTGCTTGCATTTGTGAACTAGAGCACCGTTCTACTGGAGGACTACGAGCTGTTTCAGGAGGATTAGGATCAGTACTTCATTGCGTCCATCAGGGCGCCCTTTGAGAACAGTTGTTCGTCAATTTTCACATCGGCACCACGGGTCACTTAACCTTGTCAGCGACTTCCCCGAAAAACATCATTTTAATGTTCTTATAGCAACGTCTTTGCAAGAGATTGCACATTCGATGTTCATAGCCAGAACGTGATCTTTTATTTGCTGGTCGATGGTTTTTCGTAAAATTATTTTCAGTAAGAAAGAATGGTGAAGGGCTGCGTGTCTCCACTCAAGGGAGTTGGCAATTTTCTGCATTTTTCCATTTTTTGCTCTGCACTGTCTGTTGAGATCAGAAATGAAGCGGCATTCCTGCATACGATAGCAACGGCATTGGAACTTCTGCTTGGCAATCCGCCCCATCGACAACATTGATAAGTCGTGCTCCTTTGCCGTCTTCTTTATGGGACACCCAAATCGCAGTCGATGCGCAAACGGACCATTTTAATAACCCTATCTTCAGAAACACTGGCATTTCACCCTTTCCTGGCTTGCCTCTGATCGAACATCTTTCTCTTTGATTATAGGAACCACAAGAAACTTCACAATGCGCATCCGCTGCTTTCATACCAGTGATTGCAAGTGGCAGTGAATGAGCCTCCGCCATCCAGAAGATAATGGAAGTTTCACTTCAGTAGCCATGCATATTGCAAACAGCGAGCGAAGTGAATTTGATAAATCATTTCTAACTAACAATTTTCTGAATTCTGAGGCCCATAATTTTGGGACACCCTGCATATCGCAGGCTCCGCTCCGAAATCCTATTCCGACTCAAATGGTGGGCGTTTAGTAAAGCTCTCACTATATCACAACAGTGTTATGGTATGGTCCCCCTCAACTGGTTTGGAAACTACGTGAAATTCCTCAAGAGCACAAGCCTTGTTTGCGGCTAAACGCCAGTTTTCGTACCGAGGAGATGTTGAGGCAAAACAATGCGCTTCGGTTCCAACTATTGATATTCACGCACAAAAGCAACAAAAAAAAACAAAAAAAGAACAAAAGAAATATAGTCACTTGATAAACAAGAGTTTATGTATTATATTAAAGCGCAGATTCAATTCAAACTAACATAACTATTAAGATCATTGACGCAGACGAGGAAGCCAAACGCTTACGCAGAACAAAGAAGGCTATTCCACGCTTCCTGAGCCCTACACGGTGTACAACGAGATCGTACACAGAAGCGTTCAACTCCATATAGCTATTCGCTCTTTGAGTTACCTCTTCAATTGTATTCAAGGACTTAGATATTCCAGCGGAGGACGTGACGAACGCTCGACACAATGAAACCCTTAAAGAAAAAAACATACTTTGAGTTTGCTCGGTTACGCACAGAACATCTGTGCGTAGCCGCATGCTTTTTGCCGCTGTCCTTACAGTAATCGCTTTAGATATGATATCTGGAAAGGATTGGATGGTCCTGATTACCAAATCGCAACACGAAGACAGAGGTAAAGTGCTTGTTCTGGATCAGCGCCAACGAGAGCATACCATGACAAATTCGACATGTTTGAAGAGTACTGATCAATGTGAACTGGCAGAACTGACATACGAGATTAAGAGTGGCGAAATTCACCAAGCAAGGGACTTCCACGAAACTGTGCGATCAACTTAGAAAGCAGTGAAGGAATCAGTGGGAGTCGAAATTTGAAACTTTTCCTCGAACAAGAGCAGCAACAACCTCGAGGAACTGAAAGCATGGTCAAAAATGAGACACAAGAGACGCAAAAACTCGAGAAGACATCGCTTCGTTCGGCGAACAGCCGAACACACTCGCAATACAATCACCGACATATTATCGAAAGTGTTAACACCGCCAGCTGCAAACGACTATACTGGAGGTAATTCCGAAGACGGTATCGGCGGTGAGCGGCAGGACACTAAAGTACTCCAACAAATGTCGGACTCCCTAGACCAAATAGAAGCGGAGATAATCCAAGAGAGCGAGGAACTTTGAAAAACGTAGAAGTGGTTGACGTAAAGACGTAGGCTGCATGGTCGAAAGAGAAATCCGCGATGCATCCACATAAATCGAGGAGCTTGAACTTAACAACGAGCTGGACAAGGAGCCCGAGTGTGAGCCCAGAGATTTCGATCGGGGAGTAATGAGAAGATGGTACAGGAAAAGAATTCGCCGTGTTTTTTGCGATAGAGTTGGAAGACCTATAGCGCCTCATGTGATGCATATAAACAAAGCCCGAGACGCAGATGGATAATTGAAAGAAAGCGTACGTGTACGTTCTGCCTCGAAATCAAGCTCACGTACCATGATTACCGGATAATCAGCGTTGCATGCTACCACTGCAAGCGAAGAGAACATCATAGCGCCATGTTGCAAAGTATGTAAGAGATGTTTTTTCATTGCCTTACTGTTCTTGCCTTTACTTTATGTGCGTTATGAGAAAAACCCCTTGGCGGCCGGGAATATCGCTACTATTCGCGATCCTGAGGATGGTATATCTAAAGCTGCTAGGTGGGCTGATGATAATACAGTTTTTATTTTGGTTGAGCTTAAGAGGTGGTATAAATAAACACTCATTGATATGGTTAGCTCCTCATCTCCGTGCGCCTGGTTCGCTGCTTTTTGTACCTCTGCTGTAAGACTATACTGAACCACCGTGTCAGAGTCCAACATACATATCTATCTGGTCTGCTCGAAGCTATTTCACACATGTCCCCCAGTTATGCAATACAGTGAGCACCACATGTCAAACACTAAAGCTAGTAAACCACAGCTCCCTGTGCACTGCTTCCTACTCTTTGACATGGGAGTTATGCGTTCGTGTGAAAGAAATTTTAACAAGCAGACGTAGGAATTGTTCGACTGCATCGCGTGAACAGCACAGAAAAGGTCATGTGTTTCTGACTTCGACGTTAAGCGCACGATTTTGGCCCACGAGAACAGTATTGGTGCCAGAAAAACTTAAGAGGCTTCCTGATAAGACATCGAAATTCAAGAATTAATAAGAAGAATGAGTGCGTAACATATCTGGTGACCTCTTGTCTTACATCCCTTTGTGTGAGCTCTGATAGTGGAGACCGATACGTGACGCGTCACGATAATGGGTCGTGATTGACCGAGCTGTCTCAAGTGCTCCATCGTCTCTAAAGATGGGCAATTGTTTGGTGTTGGTGGAACTGACGTGGGTGGGTTCTTGGAATTTCTACTTTCCAGGGAAGGATCCCAATTCGAAGTGGCCATTTGAAATGAGACCTATACTGCTGGACGTGCACGTTTGGATGCTGAGTTCAAATCTGCTTTCCATATTTGCCCAGCGTTTCTCTGAACGGAGTTATGAGGGTGGTTTCAGGGAGCTTAACA